GATATTGTAATATCATTGGTTTGCAACAGAAAATATCACGTGAGCGTGATTTTTTTGGTGGCGATACTGGGGTAGTTATCTATAATGCGAAATATCACGTGATAGGTACGTGTCCGTAGACTCTCCGAAGTTTGAAGTCTGGTACTGACTCAACTTTTGGAGTCGGATCAGTTCGGACAGATCATTTAACATCCCTAATGGTACTAGTATGTACTACTTGACGATGTCTCGTTGCCTAAGGGCGAAGTAATTAGCTTGCTTACGCGTGTTATAAACAGGAATATTGCTAAGAGAGTTATAACTCAAAGGTCTTAATCCTTGAAAATCTGAATTAAATACGTATGACTTTATTTTTGTTCACAATTTCCGTTCCTGGTTTTTCGCGATGACGTCGCGCAGCTATCAGCTATCTAGTTTTTACGCAAAGTGAATGTACTAAAAATTCATTGATTGACATAATAGATGTTATCGATAGCTGATATTACATATATACTTGCATTTTTTAACCAATCGATCCTACAAAACCTGATAAATATAAAGTTTCTAAATCCATTTCTGTTATTTCCATATACAAAAGTGTCTGAAAATGGAGTATTAAAAGAAAAAATCAGGAGAATGTGAAACGTAAGAGAAATGAAAATGCCGGAGGAAAATAATTGTCCAGGAGATAAATTTTGAGGAATTATTGAGACCCGTATATCGAATATTCATCGAATATATCAGATATTTATTCGAATTTTTCAACGGACATTCGAATATGAAGAAATTGATCATTTTGACCGGATCAGACTTCTACAAAAGACGTTTGCATGATAATTTTTCTATTGATACAGTGGATTAATATATTGTTTAAGGTCCAACCAAAGTATTAAATTGGAATCGCTCTGTAAAAAATTGTCTTTTGACGCCCCAAAACTAGGATTGTTGATTGGAATATCATTCTTTGAATTACTCGGGTTTAAAAACCAGACTGAGGTGAGTTATAAATATATTAAATACGTAGCATATCCTAACCAGTTTGCTAAACTGATGTATCATTAGAATTTAATACTCAAGCTTGTTTGATTTGATGCTAAACCCTTCCCAACTATTAATGACCCCATCAAAAACTCGTAACCCAACCCAAGTCAGAATTAGACTACAACATACGTATTAGAGAGGATATACATGAAAAAAAGCATTTAAAGTAGTTTCACAGTATATTGTATTTAATGTATTTGCAAAAATGTCTAGGGGTCATTATATAAAAAATTGGGTTGAATTCTCATGCTACACGGGATTAAGTCTGATTAGTCTGCGTTGACGATAAACATCACATTTTAATTATATAAATTCGTGACATGGTCTCCGTTTGGTATTGTAATCTCTACTTTTATTCCACTATCAGAGGGCAAATCCGTTACTATAGATGATGAAGGTGGACCACCAGTAACGTTTTCCTCTTCATTCTGTTTTGCTTTTGCAGACCTTTTAATTTCCACGTATGCTGTACATAATTGATTAATTATAATTCGCTATCAATAAATTATATTCAGGAAATAAACAAACCATTTAATTCATCTTTTAACTTTGGTAAAAACTCATCAAATTCACATTCTTCTATGGCCCTAAATACGTCATCAGGTTGTATGTTTTTATGGTTTTTATTTTTTGCAATCTTATTCGCTCTATGATAGGAAGTATCACGAATAGTAAGTTAAAGGTAAATTGATCAATTCGCTCAACCGCGTAGAAATCAATGCCAAAAAGGATACGATGAGGTGAGATAACTGATAAATTGAGTGGTGGATCTTATTACGGCTAATTTGGCTTCTTCCTCTATTGAATCACCACATAACTAACAAAAAAAAAGATTAGGAAAATTTTATTGGGATTCTTTTGCGAAGAATATAAATAACAAAGAAAAGACGCGCTATACGAATCCAAGAAAGCATCACGTTCAAATACGCAAAAAAATAAAAAAGTTACCACGTTATTAATGAGTTTAGTTACTATTGCTTGCGGCATATCCAAATCTGCGATTCTTTTCGCCTCCTTATTAAAGTCAATTTCACTGTCACTTAATGTTGTTGACTGGAGGCTGGAATCCCACTGGACTTCCATATTTTTCGATATTCCAGTAGTTCCAAAGAGAAATTCTGCTACGTAGAAGAATAACCACACTTGCGAAAAACGTGTTGTAAGTTCTAACTAGAGTTAGTTTTGATTGGTTGATGTAGCCCGATTTGTAACATCTAAAATTTTATCATATGATTTTCATAAGTTACACAAATCGACGAAGTTACAGTTTTAAAATTTCCTTAACGTTAGGACAAAATTATTGCTTTGGTTTTTGCGAATCGTATGGTATTAAATAAACTGTTCCTTATAAAATACTGCACTCTTGAAAATAGGTAATTATTTACATACTTTCGACGCATTCTTCCTGAGTTCACAATTTTTTTACATAAAAAATGGTTCACTAGGTGCGCATAAGAAGAGAAAAATGAAACTTTGAAATGCGAGTGCATTATGAAAATAATGCAGAAAATCAAGAAAACTATTTTATAGTAAGTAGATCACTCTTAATTCAAGGCATTTTATATAACTTCATTTGCAAAAAATTTTTTTTGAATTTTATTTTAATTTTTATTTGACTTAAAGATAGGGTTGCGATTTTAGCAGTTAAGTACAATAATATAATAATATAATGAATCTATCATTATGTATTTTTTCTTTTGTATTGGTTATACCAACAATCTCAAATTCTTTTTCAAGTTCAATATTCAGTAATATTCAACAAACTTATTAATAATATCTATGTGTAAAATGCTAAAATCTTTGTATTCTTCAAGTTCTTTTATAATATTTTTTTCAACATTTGTAGTTGTATGCATTGTATGTTTTTTTAGAGTTGTGAATTCTGAAGATACATCAGATTTAAACAGGCCTACCGAAAAATTAATTGCAATCAATTTTGTCATAATTTTTAATTGATTGCAATTGTATATTTACATAACAAAATTAATTGAAACCCAATTAATGATGAAATAATTGCAATTAATTGCAATTAAATTCAATTTTCTTTAACTAAATCGATACTCTGTAGAGTACCCTGATAATACAAGTTTTACATAATCATACATATAAAATAATACTTTAAAAAATTGATTATTGTTTACATATGCAGTTGCTAAAACTAGAAATCAAAGTTCCATATTTATTTCTTAATTTGATTGATATCTTAAATTGATCATATTTTGTCATTCATTCTTAGAAGCAAAAGATTTTTCAAGATATGTGGATCAAGAGATTTTCTTCAATCTGTATAATAATATTTAATAATTGAAAACAACCATTCTATTGCATTAGATATAGGAGGAATAATATTCAAATCCAAGTATTTTGATTCTTCTATTTTATGTTTTTTTGCAATCTGTTCTTTCATAGTCATAGGTTCTTCTTTAATTATTAGTTGTATGTTTTGTTCTATAATAAATGATTAAAGTTTTTGTTTTTCAGTGAATATTAGTATAGTTTCTTGCTTGCGCAAGACTTTAATTACAGCCATTTCAAATAAAGAATTATAAATTATTGATGCATTTCTCTATAATCAATTTTCTAATTTTGGACATTCTTCAACTAATAAATCAAAATATGTATGAACATCATCTAGATTCATTGATTTACTTTGCAAATCATTGGTCATTTTTGAAAAGTATTTAAGTTGATTAATAATATCATCAATTTCATTTAAATTTAATTGTTTGATTAACAAAATATCATGATCTAAAAAATAAAAAACAAATAAAAAATAAATAAAATAAAAAAATAAAATAAAATAAAATAATAAAATAAATAAAATTATATAAACCTGAAAATCTATTAGTCTGTGTAATATAAGAAAGAAGTTCTTTACATCATTTAATCATTTTTAATACATTCATTCAACAGGTTGCATTATCTAATTTAGGTTTTAATGATGTCACTTTTGCAAGCCTTCTATGATTTTTATATGTTCACATCATAATTACAATTGTACAAATTTGATTTACAATAGCAGTTGAAAAATTAATAAGATCATTAACTGCTAAATTTAGATGATGTGATGCATATCCTACAAGCAGAAGATCTAAATCAGTAGCTATTTTTTTATTAGTACTACAGTTATCCCCTAAAATAAACAAGATATTTTTAATACTTTTATTATACGATTCTAAAACATCTTCAAAAAACTTGATATGTGCATTTGCACTCTGAATAATACAATCTTTGAATAGTAAAAATCCTAGTAAAACTAAATTTTTGGATTTATATATAGTTTGATAAACACCAAATAATCTAACAAAATAAATTCTATTACTTGTCTATTTATTAAACATAATTCCAATCTTTTTAGGTAAAATATTTTTTATTTTTTCTCATACAATATCTGCTAAACTATTAAAATACTTGCTAACTGTAGAAGTATCTAATTTTAAAAGACCAGTATGTGCAATAAAATCTGAATTTTCATATGCATTAAATAGAATTCGGTACTTTACAATAAGACATATTCAGTTAAAAATATTATACACATTTGTGCTATAATTAAGTATGTTATTATTTGCCATCAAAGAGCTAGCACATTCAGCATGTTATTAGTAAATAAACTTGAAATTTTCATGCTTAGCCTCTAAATTGTTCATTAAATTCATATAACTAGCTTCTTTTTTTTGTGAGATTAACTGCGATCCAGAAGAACATAAATTACATTAATGCTTGCCATCAGTTATAGGTTCAAAAAAGGCCTCTAATAATATTTATTTAACCTTTTTACACTTATTGAAACATATGCGAAAGTAAAAATTTTGTATATACTATTTTGATATATCGATATGTGCTTTTAAAAGCTTTGTTATTGCTATAAATATGATGTAATTTTTTATAATATGTAATGATAATTGCAATTAATTGACTAATTGTGACTATGTCACCAATTAATTAATTGTAGTCAAATAATTGCAATTAATTTTCCACTACAATAAATTATTCAGTACACCTGGATTTAAATAATAATTATAAGTTTTTATTAGTTATTTCAATTTTTATGTTGTTATATAGTTTTGCTGTATGTAAAGAATTACAGTTTATTTTTATTTTCATATCATTTTAAAAAAAGCTTAGAAAGCATGCTTTTTTTGACTATTAAATTATTATAATAGCATCAAAATGCAACAAGATATAAGCTATAAAAGTTATGATATTATTATTATTTTTTTTAAATATCAATCTGTTAATTTATACTGATTACAATCTATTTTATTTTATTATTTTATTTTTATTTAATCTAATTTTTTTCTTTTTACTTTTTATAAAAGAATATTATTTAAATAGTGATGAATACAATTTAGTATTTTTGTCACAGTCAAAAAATTTTCAGTTTCTTGTTAGACATCTTCTTAAAGGTTTCTATAATGCAAAAGCATTAGTTTTTATTTTGATAAAGATTTTTTTTTTAATAAAGATAAAAATAAAAATAATATAAGAAGTAATAAAACTGATAAAACTAAAAAAAAAAAAACAAAAAGGTAAATGTAATAAATTTTGATATACTTGGTTTGGATAATATCTCTAAAACCAATGCTTAAACTATATATATATATGTTTTTTTTTATTAATGCTGATGTTAATGATAATTAATAACTTTATTTATGTTTTTAGTTAATATATTATATATTACTTGTACAGAGTAAGTATATAATTAGTCATATATGTAACTTTTGGTTACTTATTTAAGTAGTTCACCTAAGGGTTTTATACTAGTTGTCATATTTATAATCTATTAGAAAACTATCTAATTAAATATTTTGATCTTTATACTGCACTCAAACAATTAGCTACCTTAGTTCTTATACATCTAAGTATTGTCTAACCCAACATTATGTCTTTTTTTCTGTATATCTGTTAAGTTATTATATAATTTTAGAGCATCTTATCTAATTGTAGAGCTTAGAAAGTCTTTCTGTTAATTAATCTATCTACTCTAGAATCATTAATAAGATATGCTTTTGCAGAGTTCATTCAGACTTTAGCATTTATTTCACAACATATCTTTAGTACTTTTAGTATACTCTTGTTTTTTCTTTAAACTTCTAATCTAGATAATCTAATAGAACTATAACCAGTCTATTGGTATATTAGATCAGCTTAATATCTTTTTTCTTTAGTTTTTTAGTTAAAATTCTAGTAGCCTAGTTAATAATATTCTTTATTCAAAAATTTTTATTTATTCAGAAACTTCATATTGGTATCTGTTTTCTAGATTTAGTCTTTATAATAATACTATTAAAGATTCATGTTACTTTTCTATTCAGGTCTTTTTAAATGGTTTTTTTTCTTTAATTTCTACAAATTTATATAACTACAAGGATTTATCTTAAGTTTGCATCACCTGATGCTAGTTTGCATTTCTCTGTATAACCAGTTATACAGATGTCTTATAATCTGCCAGTCATGCTAGTATAATTATAATTACAGATATTTTAATCTAATTGTTAAAAACAGTTGCTATAATACAAGAATTATATAGTGATTATTTAAAGTTTCATTGTTAATGAGTTTTGAACTTACTATCTACTATTTAGAAGATTAACAACTTATCTATTTCACTAAGTTATTACATCTTTTATGCTTAAACTGTTAATAAAGATATATTATAAATTGTATTATAGTTTTTTATTACTAACAAAGATTTTGGCATTCTGATACAAATATTAATTTTTGATTAAATATTTGTCATACTTGTTAATTTATATAGACAAAAGCAAATATTATAGGTTACTTACTTCAATAGATATAATAAAAAAAATAATTAATAAATCTAATAATGCAATAAGATTTGCTGTATATAAATTTTTTTTTTTTTTTTTAAGATAACCTTTTTGGTCTTTTGAATTTTATTAATGACTTTTTTAATAATGTAATTTAGTAAACTACTACAAAAGAGTATACAATTGGCTACACATATAACTTTTCTATATTACTTATTTAAGAAGTTTATCCAAAGGTATTCACCAATTGTTGTATCTAATATTCTTGCTTATATATTTTATTTTATATCTTCTAAACTTGCAAACTATATT